CCCACCCCTCCTCTCTCTCTCTCTCTCTCTCTCTCTCACTCGCTGCTCTCGACCCGCGAAGCTGGTTCTCTCCTTCTTTGCGTCTTCTCCCCCCGCGTCCGCCCTCGTTTATCTCGCTTCTCGTCTGAAACGACGACTCGGCGGAACCCACCACCGCGCCACGTATGTATCGGGCATTCATTTCAGTAACGAGCACGAGAGAGCGGGAAACGTGAAAGTGCGCGATGGGCAGCCACAGCGCATACCGACATACAAAACACACACACACATATATATACACATACATATACATATTCTCTCTCTCTCTTTCTCCCTTTCGTTTACTTCTAGATTTTCCCGCGTTCCCATCCCGCGTATTCTTTTATTCGCGTTCGTCACAGATTCTTTTTTGCGATTCTTATCGCGTCAAAGACCAGCATTGTATCCGTATCCGTATGGCGTACAACGTTCATCGACGTCTGTTAGACATTTTCTGTATTTTCAAGATACATAATTTGCAGCAACTTACGTTAGACTCTGGTGAGATTATGTTTTAAATTATATTCTACGCGTATCTTTCTCTTCTTTTTTTTTCTCTTGTCAGAAATCGATAGATCAAATAGAAAGAGAATCCTCCGAAAGAGATCTAATAATTCTTATTTCGATTTAACTTCTGTCAAGCAGAAAAATCTTGAACAGATCTTTAAAACACAACGTTAATACAATTCATTGTATAACTTTGCTTCGACTTTTTTGTGAAAATATTATATTGCAAATATAATATGTGGTACAAACAAACGCCGCTGTTTTATTCTAAAATTTAATCTTACCTTTAAGTAGCATGATGATTTTAGTGGACCGATGTTCTCCCTCAAGAGAAAGAGTCGGGCAGCTTTTGTTGTCATACGGAGATCATCTTTCGAGGCGATGTTTTTCTCAAAATCAGATAACACAAAAGCATCGAAAAATATTCGACAGCCCGCAAGACACTTGATACCACTTGCTATTTTTTAGTGAAATGGATTAAAGGCGGAAAAAAGGTAAAGAGAGGATTATAGGTATCCAAATATCCAAGTCTCTGCTAATAATAAGAATACTGAAGGCATAACCCATATTATAACATTAGTCCCCTTTTGATTTGCTTCATTTTAAATCTGAGAAAGGTTTTCGAACATTGCGGTTTAAACTATCCTATAAGGCAAAATATCCTATTAAATTCATTGATCACTTGAGGATTCGCTATTCAAAAAAGGTTGTTATATCGGAATTATATAAAGGAATTTTAAACAAAAACAACAAACCATTCGCTTTCGGTTCGTTTCTTTCTAAAGCTTAAATTTTCTAGACTTTCACACATGCTTATTTATGGAAAGACACCTCAAACTACCATATTGACGCTTGTCTTCTGTGTGACAGCGTAGAAAAGTAAAAGAAATTGTACTTAACTTGCAGCAGTATTATATATAATGATAATTATCGCAAGATTTTTATTGTCTCAATTACATATTTTTTTGTTTACACTGTTTATATGAATTTCTTCTTTTAACGCATTTTTAATAAAATTAGAATTTTATAAGCTCTTTGATAAAATCATTACGATAAATTCACATAACTTTAAAATATTTTCGATCAGTGTGTGATATTCGCGTTCCTTCAAATATGTTATGAAAACTTAATATTATTATATTATTAAAAAGATATAGTCATATTGTGACATAAATTTATTTATTTAATTTTTATAAATTTTTTATAAATTTTTTATTTTGTACATACGTACTTTTCTGCATTTTATGAACTTTATCTGTCTTTTTATAACCAAATTTAAGGGAATTTGTGATACGAGACATACGACATACAAAATGTTTCGTACATTATAATGGCCCGTTGACACGATGATGGATCGTCTACCTTGACCGGACAGGTAAATGTGCTTTCACACTAATGCGCTGAAAGTGTATAATCGTTGCGGCACGCGGGTAACTAACAAGGGTCAACAACTCCATCAAATCTCGGAAGTAGTATAATACACTATTATAATCGTGTGCAAGTGATAAACAACGCACAAAGAGAAACATAATGA